CAGAAATATGGCAAACTCTTTTTTAAGAAAGTTTTTTATGAGAAAGACCTATACATTCTCATTTATTTTCTTTTATTTCCAATCCTAAGGCTCAATTAATGATACGAATTTGACGTGTTGTTACTCAAATGACCTGATTTTGCATATTTTCATTTCGATCGATGTTTTACGTATTTTTTGTCATGCAAACACTCAACAAATCCGGCCATTTTGTTCGACTAATTCACAGTATTAATTTCCCATCAAGCATAAGATTTGAACCGATTTGAACAAATTGCATTTGAAAAGGGTTCGATCGAAGTGTTAAATTGAGAATGGTCTCTTCAAATATCAATATTTACAAACAAACGCCCAATTGAACACATGTGTGAGAGACTCGCTATCGTATCGATTTGCGGTATATTCCGTTGAAAATTTATTAAATCATAAATAATTGAAAACCAAAAAAAAAAAACATGAGAAATGTCAGAGATTATATTGATCTATCGATAACGATGACAGAAAGCGCATGTGTATAGTTCTCACCATGAACGTGATGATTTGTATAGGAGTTTTTGAAAGCACGATAAGCGTGGTATACAAATGAAATAAGTAGGAATAAAATGCAGACGAAAATGATAACGCACGGTCATAAATTGAATAAATGAACCTTTTTGTGGCCTTATAGTCTATTTTGTGGAAGAAATATATTTTTTTTATTTTAAATAATTATTTACAAATAATATTTTTCGATAGGAATTGGCTGACTTTGAAAAAATGTCAAATGGACCGAAGCTCAGCGTGAATGGTAATGACTAAGGCATGAATGAAAACAATGTTTATTAAACACACTCCTTATTGGTTGCAGATTTGAACAAGGATGGTGGTTTCGATGACAAAAATAGCAATCCACTATTTTCCTGCTTTGTGGCTGAAGAACTTGACTCGTCCAGTGGGTGGGTAAATTTTTGTAAATAACTTGTCGAATGGATAGGAGTAATTTCTGTATGGAATTTCAGTTTATAAAATTAATTGGTTAACAAAATTTTTGGTTTTCTACTTCCCTCTTACACTTTTCTAGGTATTTCTTCCATATCCAAAGACATATACGATTTTTTCACGCTTCCAATGGCATATTACATTATGAACAATTAGCAATTTCAAAAACGGCTAATTTTCAGTTTTACAAACTGAGATTTTTCCGCCGTACTAAACGTACAAATCTGAATAATCTTTATGTCAAGTTGTTGAACAATTTTTTTAGTCATGCTGATTTGCAAATAAACTACCGCTAACGTCATTAGTTTCAATAGTTGTTTATAACTAACAACATCATGTGATTTGCTGAGTGAAGTAAACAAGAGCAAAATTACTTTATTACTCTGAATTCGAATCATTTGCGTCGCTAAACAGTGACAATAAAAACGATCAAGATTATTGAACGAGCGTGGAATATTTTGCTATTAAGAGCATACTTGAGATAAAAAGAAAGTTGTTGGACAGTGGAGTAGCTCAATTTTGAAAAAGGAATACCTTTAATCTACTAGTTGCTTGAAACTGTGTCATGCGATTGTGAAAAAATTGAGAGGTCTCGAAAAATTTGATCTCCAAGTTTTGATTTTAATCACAAGAAAAATTGATGAATCAATATACTTATAATTGCAATTTTTAATGGCTCTCTTTTTTTCACCCTATTAAATTAAAAAAAGTACATATGATTCAAGCGTTTCCAAGCAAAGAAATGTCCCTAGAATATAAAGCGATAAGCATTGGAATGGCCATTTGAACTATTTCTTTCTTCGTTTTTGAGAAAAAAAGGGAAAAAGAAATTGAAATGTATAATTCTCTCAAATATTTAATTTCCTTATCTGAATCAATGTGCGGTTGTGCTTACTCGGAGAATGACACACAATGTTACTCGAAGAGTGTATACTTATGGCGAACCGACAAAAGATAACAACGTCGATCAAAACAAAAAAGACATTTGCCTTCTTATGTTTGCGGACTTTTATTGTTTTGGTTTGTCGTTTCCTTTCTCTAAAATGCAATGCACGAACGACACAAAAAAACATACATCTTTGTTACTTATATTTCCCATGAAATGAACAGTTTTATTGCACAGGGTCCAAATTGTATATTACTTATGATTCATAAGTTAAGAACCATTAAAATTGTCTATGTAAAAATCACATTCAAACATTTTGTGAATTGAAAAGTAATGCTCTGCTTTATTTTCATATTCGTATAGTTTGCCGCAATGGATCGTTGGATATGCATTGTGCTTTAATACTTATTCCACATGGGAGGGGAAAGCACTGTTTTTGGAGGATTTCTATGTCAAGCCATCATATCGAAAACAAGGCGTTGGAAAATTAATATTTACCGAAGTTGCAAAGTATGCAAATGACACGAATTGTATTCGACTTGAATTACATGTCCTCGACTGGAATCCGGCTAGAAAATTCTACGATAAGATGGGCGGCATCAACTTGACTGCCAAAGAAGGCTGGCATTACACTCGCTTTGAACGACAAGCTATCGAATCCATTGCCAACGGCAGTAAATGAATGTACCCTTCTTAATTGCTCTTGATGTATCAAAAATTGTACTTAATTATATTAAATATTTGATAAAAAGTTTATGGAAATTCATTTATAAATCATTGTTTTTTCAAATAAATGGATTCAAATGAATAAAAAGACACTATCGCTTGTACAAAGATGTTAAAAATACATTTGACGCAGAACTCAAATATTTAAACTAATCGCATATTCAGTAAAATCCAAGAATGACGAATCACGACAAACCTATTTTTCCAACCATTTTCAGACAATAAAATGTCAAACTGTTTCGGAAACGATTATAATC